CACCTAGACCCCATTTACCAGCAGCAGCCCAGAGCCCAGGCCGGTGATACCTGTGAGCCGGAGGCCGCCCGCCCCTCAGTCATCGTCGTCGTCGTCCTCCGGGACAAAGATGTCGTGCTCCTCCAGCAGCGCAGCAAAGTTCTTGCTGATCCGAGTCCCCACATATAAGAAGGGCACCACTACCACAGCAATCCGGATTAGGCCGAAGGTGGTCTGCTCCCCACGGTGTGACGCAGACACACACACACACACGCGGCATCGGGCCACCATAGAGACAAGTCGGTTAGTTCATGGAAGCAGCGTGTCCTGTGTCTGATCCCTGCTGTCATGTCAACTGACTCCTCACAACAACCACTCACCTTCTTGGGTTTGGGCAGAACAGCACCGGACGATGTGGTCACGACGGAGCGGTGCGGTGTCACCGTCCTCCGCGCTCCCCCTGCGCCGGTACTCGGCACTGTTTCCCGGCCGTTCCTGAGAACCGACATCCTGAACAGACGACCGAGGGATGACGCCATGTTCCCAGTTCACAAAACGTTCGTGCGGCAGCAATGCGGAAAACGTCTGGAGGTAATTTTTTTAAGGATTTTTACCTGTGAGCAACAGCGTCATCGTGCGTTAAGAAAACGCATTACGATAAACGACAGGCAAAACACGACCAGAACCGTATCGATGATAACGTGTGAACTTTTTAAAAAAAGTTATATATATATATATTTTTATAAAATTTTAATTCTAATTAAATAAAAATCTAATTTCACATCACTGTCCCGTTTACCAAAACAAAGAACATTTAAATTGAACTTGACGATCGTCACGGTGGATATTGTTATGTTTGTGGTCTGGACTCAGTTCAATAGTTTTTAGTCTGAATTAGAAAAAAAAGATTGAAATGATTTAGAAAAAACAAAAACACAAAGGCTCCGCGTGATTTTCATGATTTCTTTACAATGTTTCAGTTAGCATCGTCCATTAAAATGGCTAAATTCTTAGCATTCACGTTTTCGGAGGGAAACAAAAGCAGTGGTTTATGAAAAAAAATACTAAATCAAATACAACAAATGAATAAATACTGTACATCATCAAATATTTACAGGCTCCTTATACGGCACGTCACTAAATTAAAATGACTGTGGGACAGTTGGGCGAAAGAGAGCGGTTTCCATGACAGCTACGTTGCTATGACAACTACAGCAGTGAAATAAAAACTGCTGTAAAGAAACCTGGAAATGAATAGTAAACATGCGTTGATCCCAGCAGCAGTTCCAACAGTCGTACCAACACTGTGAAGTGGTTTTTGTGACACTGATTATTCTGTGTCAACACAGATGAATGTTCTTCCCTCGTCAAGTCTACAGGATTATTGACAATCAAGTCTGTTTGCAATCATCTGTAAGTTAAATAATTATTAAATAAGATCTCAGTGTACAAACAGTCTCAACCAAAACGACACAAACACAAATACTAAACACACGGGAACGCTTCACAGCAGAGTAAACTGAAAAAGAAAGAAGTCCAAACACCAGGGACGGTTGGATGTAAACGTCCTCAGGTGGATTCTTGGTGCCTAGTTGTGCAGAGCTAATTAATCCCTTTTAATTCTTAGATGTGCTTCTTGAAGTCGTACCACGTCTGTGACTAGGGGGCGTAGCAGCAGTGGCAGCTGGTCACTGAAATACAAAGACAGTTGGTAGTGAACAGGAGTGTGTTCTCCTGAATCAACCCTCTTCATCTGACATGTCAGTCATGTCAGTCTGTCTCACCTGACGTTTGAAGGACAGGCGTCTAAAGAACTTGTTGACCTCAAACACGTCCGGTTTATTGGCTTTCCCCGGTTGGCTGTTTTCGCCGAGAAGAACGATTGTTCCTTTGGCGATGGCGGCTTTGAGACTCATGCTCTTCACTATGCGAGTGCTGGGCTGGGAGTCGGGTGTAGGTCTGGAGGATACGGTGATGTAGGAGGCATCTTTCTGATTCTCCTGGTAACTGACTGTCGGACAGGAAGTCAGAGACGATGTGAGATGAATGTAATTTTTCTGTCTATTTACATTTACATTTATGCATTTAGCAGAGATATATACATCATATATGTGTATATATACATATATAAATATATATTTGGTATGGTGTTTAAAAATACATATATAAAGTATATTTTATTAAATAAATTATTTAAATTATTTATATATTATAAAATTATGTTTTGTATTAAACTAAAGTGTAAATAAAATAAAAAACAATATTAATTAGAAAATTGCCTGACACCCCTGTAGTACCTGTACTCAGCCGCTAGGGGCTGTGTAACTGTCAAAATATTTTCTTTGACAGCAGTGGTTCTCAAACTGTGGTATGCATATCCCTTATGGTGCTTTAGCTCCCTCTAGTGTGATTCCCATTAGCATGACGCTAGTCACTGCTAACTACCACTGTTATATTACAGAGTCTGTGCTGTGGATATCCAGATGTTGACCGTTACCTGCGGAGGTGACTGCCGTGTCTGTGGTCGAGGTTAGCTCCAGCAGGATTGTGGGATATGTAGGGTGCAGCAGGAAGAGTTTTCTGATGAGAGGCTCCGGTGCAGCGACACCTGGTGGCGCCTGTACAGTAGCAGATGAATCAGACCATATAAACCGTTATCAGTTAGCCTTTGTTGTTTCAGTGCTGCAGGTTTCAGTGTGGCAGACTCACCGTCGTCTTGGTAACATTCTTCTGTGCACTGATTGGTTCACTGGCCCAAAAGAGGAACGCTGATTGGCCAGTGTAGGTGGAAATGGTAGACGTTTGCAAAACGAGACGGGGGCACACAAATTCTGCCGACCAGAGAAGGTCCCCTTTTGCCCCGTCTACCACCTGAGCCTGAAGGACAGAATGGAGCAAAAAAAATAAATACACATTTGTTTCTCAAAACACTCCATTATCTCATTTCCATAAGAATATGAAGAGAAGTGAGTGTTCCACCTCCATGACTCCATTGGCCGAGTGTTGAAAAAACAGATCCAGGATCCCGTCGTCATTGAAGTGACCCGGGGCTGGTTGGCTGATACAAAAACAACTCAATTAAGGATTGGTGTTAAATGGTTTTAAATCCTTATTTACAATACTGACATAGTCTGATGTGTGTGTGGGGGGGGGTGTGGGGGGTGGGAGTGTTACCTGTGGATCGGACCTGAGTTGAAGATCCATCTTTTACGCATGTCTCTCTGTCTCAGGACTGTTAGCACTGACACTTTACTGGAACCCGACACCAGAATCCAGTCGCTCCTGCTGGAGTTCAGGTTGGAGACCGTGTCCAAACTGTTGTGGTTGTCGCCAAAACCGGCCACAAGGGGGAGCATGAACTCCACGTGCTCAGATCCTCTTCAATTAAAATAGAGAACGAACCGTTTTAAATAATGACGCGATTCCTTAAAAAGCTGAAGTTGATGTTGAACTACGTCTACTCTATAATCTTTGATTTAATCTTACAGTGTTTTATCTCACCAACAGAACTGAACAATTCTCATATTAGTTTCTCCTCACACCCAGGTCAAGTGTCTGAGAGACAAAGAAGCGTCTGTAGGATGGAGTGTTTCCCACCTGTAAATGTCAATGAGTTTGGAGGAGTTATTTTTCCTGAGTTCCTCCCACTTTGGATCCTTTATCCTCAGAGCTTGTGTTACAGGAATCCTGTCAGTGGCTCGGATGTAAACATCCCTCAGAGAGACGGCCTCTACGTTACCTAGAACGTCAGGAAAGACAAAGTCTTGTCAGAGGGAAGACAAACTACGATGATTTTAAATTCTAATTCCAACAAAACTGCAAAGAGAGAAAAAACACATCTGGTCCAGTCTTCACCTAGTCCAAAGAGAATGTAGTACGCCCCCTTCTGTGTCTGATGCAGCAGAGGTCCGATCAGTTTCCCTTGTCCGGTCAGGTTAAATGGCACAGGACGTCCCAGCTGCGCCCCCGTCAGGCCAGAGATCAAAGTCAGAGAGAGATCCAAAGCCTGGGAATTAAAAAAAAAGAAAAGTTTTTATTCAAGAACCAGAACAAATAGATTCACTATCCCCAAACGTTCTCAGACTGAAACCTAACTGGAATGAAGGAAAACAAAACATTCAAATTCGGGAATTGACAAACAGACAACGTGGCCAAAAACATGGACTGCAAACAGGACTGTGGTCGAATGTAAACACAGCCCAGACTTCAGTCTGGAGGTACAGGTTCTCCTGGTCAAAGAACCAGGTGATGACGAAGTTGATGTCGAACAGTGAAACTATATTAATGTTGGCTAATGTTTAAAGACAGAACCGGACCTCGTTGGCAGGCAAAGTGGCGATGAGCAGATCTGGCACCGAGTCCCCCTGCAGGTCTGGAAGTAACACTGCCTGGGATTCGATGTTCTTCAGTTGGACTGAAGACAAATTCTTTCCTGAGGGACAGAAACAGAGAGTCTTTCAAACCTGGTGGTGTTTTAGGGACGACACACACACACACACACACGTGGCGTGTCAGAGCAGGTCGTCGACTTCTCACCCGTGGTGCCGTTGACCGCCATGATGACGGACTTGCTGATGAGAAGACACACGGGTAGAGGCTGGGAGCTGTACTGCAGCCCACACTGGATGGACATCACTGACTCAGACATGAATTTCTTCCAGAGCACTTGACCGGTCACAGCAGACAGCGCCACCGCACTGTAAACTGGGATATAAAAAAAACCAAGACGTTAGTGTGTGATTCAACACAGGGAACGCAGTGATGCTGATGAGACAGGCAGTTAACGGACACCTACCTTTGCTCCTGGGTGTCATGTGGGTGTCGTTCGTCCACTCGGCGACGCTGAGGAACACATCCTCCACCGAGTCACCGTCCACGTCCCACAGTGCCAGTGCAGGTGGAGTCACACCTAGAGGTTAGAACAAAAAAAAAATATATACGTATATATATTAGTCTTCTGATTGGCCGCAGACAGGATTATATCGCCACCTATTGACTTCACACTGAAGACCTAGATGTGCGACACACAGTTTTAGATCATTAATGACGACTCTGACTGCACTCCGTGGACTTTGACCTTTTCCCAGTGACTGATCCACCATCTGAACCAGACCCTGAGGTGAAACCCTGAGGACTAGAATGAAGCTGCTCTTCAAATCAACAGGAATTCAAATCCGTCCTCGTGACCAGAGTTAACGTATGATTACATGTATTTGTTGCCACTACTTTACTTTAACTGGGGGCAGGGTGAGACAGACGTGTGGTAGGTGGAGTCATGTTCACACGCCTGTGTACTTACAGACGACTAATTAAAGGGCCAGTCCATGTTTTGTAGACAACGACTCTGCAGTAAATCTCTATGATTTGCTGCCATGTTAAGACGTATCAAAAATACCGATTGAACCATTGTTCCGTTTACCTCCTGCGTCTCCCAGTGCTCTCTCCCACTGAGGCTTCGGCTCTTTCTTCTGACAGGGGATCAGGAAAGCACAGAACAGCACCACCAGAGTGGCACAAACCAGAGGCACCAGGAAAAATGCACTTCGGACCATGTTCCTCCTCCTCGCCGCCTTTTCTTCTGCATCGGGGCCGTGACCCCCCAGCACGGTGCCACCTAGTGGACCGGACCCTCTCCTCTCCTCCCCGGCCCTCCTGTCCCTCCCAGAGTCCCTCTGACTCCAGTACTGCGTGCCCATCATGTCGTCTCTGTCGTGTCGGGGTTTGCCGTGGAGGCGCTCCCTCCATTCCTCCTGCTCTTCCTCCTCGTCCTCGTCGTCGTCCTGCTCTTCATCGAGTCTTCTGGACCTGCCGCCGCGCAACTTTGAGGAGGCCGCACCGAGGCAGCCGTCCCTGCCAAGACCATTTCTGGGGTAGTTGAGTACGAGGTCGTCCTCTTCACTCTCGTCCTCACTGGCCGCCTGGGTCAGAGGGTCGTACTCTCCGAGCTCCGAGCCCTTCTTCCCTGCAGAGACACAGAGAACTGACGATGATGATGAAGATGATAAACTCTTACTGATAATCACTGAGTTTTATCAACATATTATCAATGAAAAGGGACTCAAACAGTAGTAATACTAAAGCCATACTTGGTTTATTAACACATTATTTTACAGTAATCTAAAACAGAGGTCCATGGAGGTCACATGATGTGACAATGTTGCATCATGACAAATTAAACTTTAACAATAGTTTTTTAAAATCTTTTTGACACAACTATCATTGTTTAAAATCACTAGTATAATTCATTTTCAATATAATCTCTCAGAGGAGTCGTGACGTCATAATAAGGACGACCTATGACGTTAACGTGATCGACGTGTTGTTAGACATGTATGAAAGCAAACGGTACAGAAATGTCTCGGAAATATGTCTTTCACTAAATCAATCAGTTTTTATACTGAACTCGAGCTAACAGTTCTGATACGATCCATTAAACTGTTCAATTAATAATTTTAGTTTAGTTTTAGTTTGATTGACAAACGAGTTCGTTAACAAATATAAACGCAGTACGGCCTGAAAGAAACCCCCAAAAGTGAGTCATTATACCTAATATTAAAATGGAAAAAAATGTAAATGGATAAAATGAATGAACGACGATGCAGCAGAACTGTATTTGTTGATGAACCACAGCGGTCGGACGTCAGTTTCTCCGTCCGTTGTGATGTGTATAATCTGAGCACCGTTGTTGACAGTTGTGTTATCATTAGCAGCCAGCTAACAGACATCACTACAGACAGAGCGCCGCTGTGGATGAACACATCTGATGTCTACGTCATCAGCGATATCTTCATCATCGTCGTCCCTTAGACGATGCCGTTAGTGAAATAACATGAAGAATGATACGACTGTGTCTCAGAGAAAGACGATAAATCAAACGTCTGTCTTTAAGGACATACAGACCAGACCAGACACACTAACACATATTTATACACACACACACACTGTCCACCTCTGATTTATATAATCGTCCAGATTTGGTCACGTCAGTTTCCTCTGTAAAATAACCAAACGGCATCTTACCGGGCAGTTTGAGGGCACGGGACAACGCTGCAGCCATTTCTCCTCTGAATCAAACCGCTACGTGAAGCGGCGTTGGTGAGCAGCTCCAAGGCAGCGACCCATGAGCTTGGATCTGCACCTGGGTCGAGTGCATGCTGGGAGTTGTATTTTTATGCCACTAACGCTCTTTTACACACATAAAACACAAAACAAGCAGCAATGCTGCGCCATTTGTCTTGATTCGACTTACCCCTAACCCATGGTTTACTTCACAAAAATCGTTTTAGGAAACTGTCTAGATAACATTGTGTTATTATATCACATCAAATATATATGTATATGAAAAAGCTCTCAGACTGTGTTTTGGTAACTCTGAATTACAAAAGCTTTTGTTCACATAGTAAGAAAATATGTTTATTTTCCCCAGATTGTCTTATTTGAATTACAGAAATCGCTACAACTACGTGTGAAGGGTATTGGTTTGTGTGATTCGAACGTTTAACTACATCTAGTGGCGAAATTGTGCATTGCAGTTAGGAATGTCAACCAGCACTTCTTTGTGCTAATTTAGACATGAAGGAAGATAGTCTTAAAAATTGCTTATTACAGGGAAATGAGAAGTTATATTTCATACCCCAGTCTTTTTGCGAACCACTGTTTTTGTTGACGTTTTTTATACATTCTTCTAAATAACATATATTTTACATTTACAGTATAGTATGTAC